TCGTAAAGAACTTTTATAAAAATTCATTATCTAAATAGAAACCGCCTCGTTACTTCATAAAGAAAGGCAGGTGAAAAGAATTAAAAAATGGATAAAGTCAAAGAAAATTAAAATGTAAATAAAAAGTATAAATAAAATATATAGTATATAGTTGAAATTCTCCTAATTTCATAACATATTTTTTAATGTAGTTATTCTTAATATTTATGATTTTTTTTAAAAAATTATATTCTCTTAAATTTAAATATCTATAAATTATATCATCGTAAATTTAAATATCTATAAGCAATTGTTAAATTTCTAATGTCATTATGTACCTAAATTATTATTTTGTTTCTGTAATTAGCGTTTAAGGTTGATGTTTCCTAATGATTAAGTATGAACAGATTGCTATTAACGGCACATTTTAAAATGAGGGATTTTAAATTTAACTCAACTTATTGTTATAAAAGAATATGTAGACAAAAAGGCGCGATATATGCTTTCATTTTTCTTAATAATTAAAGTTAAAACTGAACTTTTTAAAATAAAGTATTTATAGTGTCATTTTCGCCAACTAGTAAAGCATTTTTATAAGTTTAAAATGGTATTTTTTTTTTTATAATGGCCAAGAAAGTTTTTTTGAACTATGTTTATGAACGGAAATAATGTGTTACGTAAAGTTTGAAAGCTAATAACCAGAAAAAGTATAACTTATTTTTACAAAGAGAAAGATGCAAAGTTATCATAATATCTTTGCTTGCGATCTCCGAGATCTGTGAGCCCTTCTATTCTCTTTAGCCCTGGGTACTTACACCGAGGTTAAGAACCTTTTGACATTTAGAATCACAACACTTGAATTCTATTGAAAACTTTTTCATCTTTTACTATTTGTTGATAGTTTGTAAATAGTAATCCTGTGCGATATTGTAATTTTATTTTTGTAAACCAAATGAAATTTCTCAACGCTCACGAATTCATGAAAAATATTGATTCCATAATTTTTGTTGTCGATAATATTTACGATATCATCGCATTTGATATTGATTGTGATAAATCGCAATAATGCTTCATAAAATATCGTTGTAATGATACTGAAAAATATTAGTATTTCGCAAGTTAAATTGAAGGGTTTATAGAAAGTCATAATATCATAAAATATTGATTCACAATGTAACAAAATTTAAGATTTGATTACGACTTTGAGGATCATCAATTGTTAAACTCGCAGTAAGAAAATATCAAGAGGAAAAATTTGTAGCCTACTGAAATGCAAAAACTGAGTTGAAATTTGACATGTTGAAAACGCTATTTTCATTTATTAATGAGAGAGTTTTCATAGAGCGAGTATTTTTTCGAACGAAATTCCAGTTTTCTGAAAGATATTGCAATTTTAAGTTAACTTTTTTCGCCTTATTTTATGACAATTTGACCATTATTCTTGAAAATTTTATTTATCTCTCGAGATCTTCAATTTACAGGTTTGTGCTCGACTATATGTTAAAAAAAAATTATTTTAGCAAAACAAAAAGAATAAATAAAATAAAAATAGGAGCTTAGATATTGTCAGATACAAATCTTAACATCTATATTGATATTTTTAAAAATATAAAAAACTCCAGAGTGGCCTGATAGCTGTTTCCAATTGGAACTGTTGCAGATCCGTTTCCGGGTATGTAATATTTCTGCTGCATGATTTTTTAAAAATTTGTTAACTGCTGCAGCAATAAAAATGAAAACAAAAAATTTTCAGGCTCATATAAATTTGTAGTAAATTGTTTGAAAATATCGTAACTACTCATGCGGAACTTATGCATGGGCTGGATTTGTTTATTTAAGTAGGGTATGTATATTTTTGCGTCACGCTGTAAACAAAACGTCATATACAAAATATGTATTTTTTTCCTAAAATGAAATTCTCGAATCTTGAATATGGTGATAGCAACTATCTAATTTTTTATGTAAGCAACTGATTTTAATTATAATTTAAAGACATTTAATGAATCATTTAAAATGTTTACACATGAGACGATAATACCTTTTCTTTTTTTGTTTTGTTGCACTGTTAAAGTATGATTCAAGTTAGAGGGATTCATTAAACTTCATATTTGAGAACGCAAAATAGTAGCTTAGATTTTGTTCTGTGGAAAAATATAATTTTTTTAGATTAATTTTTGAAACTTGATATCTTTGTTTCTTGTATGTCCTAATTACAAACTCTGGATTTAATTAAGCAAAGGAAAAATTGATTAAAAAAATAAATTTTTTCTTCTTCTTAAAATGATTCCAAAGTTTGCAGTTTGCTTTTTAATAGGGAAAAAGATTCATTCTTTGAACCATAATCAGTATTTTCATAATTAAATATTGTTTTCTGTATATCAGAAATATTCTATCTTGAAAAAGAATCAAATTATATTTTTATCCTTTTTAAATAAAGGAACTTTAGAAATTGAGAGTCTTATTTTCGACAAGAAGTTCACCCTGATTAATTTTACTGGTTTAAGGTTTATTTGCAATGCTACAAAATTATATTAGAAATATTTAATGAGACTTTTTAGTTACTACCTTTCGTAGCATTTGAATCCTTCGTTAATAAAAGAAAATTGGAAGAACGTCTTTCAAAATATTTAATTGTGTAAGGAAATGGATTCGTATTAAATATTCATTACTTTGTTTTTATCAATAAATGAAAAATATGAGCAAGACTTTTCCAGAAAATGAATAAAAACTAAGGAATACAACAATTACTGGGAAATGTTATTCAAAAAGCGTTTGAAATATTACTTTCCATATAAATATTGAAAATTTTATTTTAGATTTAAAAATTCACGAAAATTTAGGAAGATAAACTGGTAGCAAAATTAAAAATTCAACCCATGGATTTGATAAGTAATATCAATTTCTACTGTGTTTTTTTATTTATTTAATTTTTCCACATTTATTTCATTTTTACTGAAAATAAGCAATAAAATAATAATTTATTCTGGGAAAAGCTAGAATTAACAGGGTATGCATAAATAAAATTGTAATTCTTTCAATGAAATAACTAGCTTTTGATTTCAAAAATAATTTATTTAAGATAGTAATCATAAGACCAGGCCTCAAAATATTCGTATTAAATGAATAAATGATTTTTTTTTAATTAACCAACTAAATAATAAGAGATAAAAGATTTCAAATGTCAAAAGGTAAAAATGACACTAGGGAATAATATTCATAAGCTTAAATTCTAAAAATCAATTGCTGCTGTTTTATTTTTTTATTTTTTATTTTGTATCGCGTCGAAAATCTCAGATTTATCATATGTTTATACATTTTTCTTCTCAATTCAAGTGAGTGTGTAGTAAAGAACTTTTTATTTTGAGACCACATTTGATTTTAATTCTGCAGTGATATCTATTGTTTTTCATTTTATTGTTGTTTTAAGGTCGTAATAGATGGTGCATCGATAAAAACTTTGGAAGTATCTTTATTTTATGGGATCGACTTTTTGGGACTTTTGAACCTGAACGAAATACAAAAATAGTGTATGGAGTGACAACACCCTTAAGAACATTCAGTCCTATACAGATACAAGTAAGTATATAGAATGAAGTATATAGAAGATAATGTATGTATGAAGATGAAGTATATACAAGTAAGTATATAGAAGAAGAGATTTGCTAGTTTGTTTCAATTTCATTACATATAATTGACCTTTTAAATAAATGGCGTAAATAAATTGACGTTCTATTAATATAATATAATATAATATAATATAATATAATANTATTATTGATTAAAAAAAAAAAAAGAATATTTATAAATTAGGCTGTGACCTAATGTCACAATAACATAATATGATATGATATGATGTGATGTGATATAATATAATATAATATAATATATATAAATATAATAAAATCTATTAATATATATAGCTGTAAATATAATAATAAAAAACGAATGATGAAAAAAGAATTAAGTGTTAACAATTTTAAAACATAAAACAAAGCCTTAAAATATAGGGCTAATTTAGCTTCACGTTTTAAATAATCTTATAATTCAAGTATATAAATCAAAAGATCAAGAAAAGATTTGAGTTAGATATCTAAAATATATATAAGTAAAAAAAAGAAAAACTTTCACCCAAGATACTACATAACTTTGAAAAAATTAATATATGATATCGTATTGGAATATTCTTTTGTATTCAAGCAAATAAGTAGTGTAATCAAGAAAATACTTTAGGGTCATAAAATATAAAACGAAACTTTAAGTAAATGATATAACTAACAATATATTTCATTTGTTTTACGTATTCAAGACAAGGGTGCAAGGTTGGGGGAGCAAGTTCCATTTTTAGGGCTCTATTTTTAATGACCATGGTGGAAACGGACGATTTATTAAAGCACATCCAACTGCGTATAGACGTCAACTGTTTTGCTGGCTGCCAGGATCGAACTCATGACCCCAAATTCTCCGCCAGCGGTGGCTGCGACGCTTTGATTAACTGTGTTACAGGAGCGCTGGAAACAGAGACTTTAGTACTCAAGGTTTAAAATATAAAATAAAGCTGTAAAGTAACAAAAATATTTTTCGTTCTATTCTACCTGCTCTTTATATTTATGCTATCGAGAAAATATTTTATGAGTTAGAGTTTAAACAAAGAGTAAAGCTTTAAAATAAATTAAATAAGTAATATCATCTTTTAATATTCTTATACATTTGAGCAAGGAAATAAAGCAATAGAAAATAAGAATACTTTTTAAAAATAAAATTCGTTTTATAGAACTTGCTTGCTGCCGGAGCTTGAATGAAGAATTTACTTTGGTTCAAAAAAATCTTGGGTTAAAGGTAAGAAATAAAGTTTGGAAAAAAATAGGGAAAATAGAGAACTCGGTTCTAGAAAGCTTAACAATTACTTTCTATTCCTTAAAACGGCACAACATACAAAACAATCTTAAAAAAATAAATAGGGCTAGAGATTATGTATTTACAGTAGGCGAACAAAAACGTAGAGCTTACATGTAGTGAGGTGCTACATTCCATCACTACCAGAGCACAACTATTTAAAAGATTTTGCACAATTCTTACGGGCAAAGAATATAACGTGACGCACCGTACTTCATAGGGTCGTTTTGCATTTAAACTGGAAATTAAAGATCAAAATTTCAAAAGACGTATCTAACTGTATTTTATAGATAAAACTTTGGTGAGCCATAAATAAAAACTGTTATTCTTTTTAACAGACAGGTGTTCTTCAGAATATATGGCATAGATTTAAAACTGTTGAAGGTTTATCCAATAAGTTGTCGGTCATTTTTAAGGGACCAGGTTGGAAACCAGGAACTTCATGGCTTGGAAGACTGGAAGATGTTCCTGAGGTAATGCAGTTTTTTTTTCACTTATTACTTTATGATAAAATATAGTTCTACCATAATGTATGACTAATTTCGAAGAAAAGTATTTTGATGGAAATAGGCTCATAGAAACTTTCGTCGATCAATTTTGACCATTTGTAAAGACTATATCTCAATATTAAAAGACAGTTACTTTTATGGATGTGAACAATAGTTTTTCAATCATTTTGTGTCAAATATATGTTTTTGTTTAGTTACGTAATTTACTTTATCCGACTAGTTTCGACAATTATTTTTTTAAAATAATAATATAAATTTAAAAAAAAACTAGCTTATTTGTTTACCATGTGTAAAAACTTATAAAAATAGCAAAAGGGAATCATTATTATTTCATTTTTATTTTTTAAACAGCCATTTTTTAGCTCAAAATAAGGCATTTTTTGCATATACTCTAAGCACTTTAAAAAAATTTCTAATCCATAAAATCATTTTTAATTCTCTTTAAATTCCTTTGAAAATTTCATTTAGAAGGCTATCAACTATGTTTTGAACCATTATATTAGAAGCAAGTGCATATACTATTGAGCTAGGGATCAATGTTGTTAAAGAAGCAAATTTGTGAAGAATTTTCGCACTGGTCTTTGTGAAAAATAAAATTCAACTTTTTTCTCTTAGTCTATAGTTTAAAAACATGTGTGCTATAACCATAAACATTCTATCCACTGTTATCACCTTGCACAAAAACTGCTATAACTTTGTAAAAAAATAGGGAACAAGCAAAAGTAAAGTATTTTTAGAAAGTTAAGATTATAGGAATTCTAAATTTATGATAAATTCAATTTCGAAAAGTTTGTGCAAAATCATGTTTTTGCACTAGTCAGATATCTTAACGAACGTTTTTAGTAGAATTATGTTGTTTTCGCAGCCTTGTTCTTATGTCTGAAGATAAACTAGATGTCATACTTTGTTTAAATTTTGAATTTCTTTTGGAGTAATTATATAGTAGTTCATAGTGACAGTTTTTTGAATTTTCAAACGTAAGAAAAGCCTAACCGTAGTAAAATTAAAATTTTGAAACAGGTTGAGTTATCAAATTTCAAAGCTTTTATTTTTTAATGTAATTCTCGAAAGACTAATAAAAAAATACGTATTTTTTTCGGGTTTTGAAAAGAAACATAGTAAAATATTAATCTTTTATGTAAATGTTTTTTCCTTTGAATATTGTAGTAAAAGGGCTCGATTTATATAAAATAATATAGAGGATTTTTGATTCATTGAATCATTTTACAAAAATTGCTTAACACTTGTGTAAAAGTTTTGAGCCTAGTTTTACTATATTTTGAGAAGAAAATGTGAATCCAAACATAATTCGGCAAATACAGTATTATCTGATTTTTAATCTTAAAGTTAACTTTAAAACTTGGTTGCAAGTTTATTTGCTTACTACTTTCTAGTGCTAAATTTCTAAAAATTACAGGTTTAAAATAAATAGTTTTTTAAATGTTGAAAAATATTGTTACTACAATACGATCAATTATTGTTTTGAAAAAGTACTTATGAAATGTTAAATACATACTCTAATAAAAAGGATAGTACAAATAAGGGATACTACAAATAAAGGATAAAGGATATTACATATTAAGATTAAAGGATATTACGAATAAAGTATAAATGACATTACAAATAAAGGATATACAATAAAACACAAACAATAAAGGATATACCATAAAACACAAGCAATAAAGGATGTTACAAATTAAAATATTCTTAATAACTTTACTTTTCCTATTATATTTTTTCAAAATCATGTATTTAAAGCAATTTTTTGTTATAAATTATTTGGTCACTAAAAAAAATGCAGAATTTTATTTTGCATAATAGAAACAGTTGAACCAAAAAAATTTTTTTAGAAAAATATATTTTCATTAAATCAATATATTTTAATGAACTAATTTACTTTTTGTTGAATTTATTTAATTATTTAATAATACAGCCTAACATATTTAGAGTGCTAACTGTTTAAAATTGCTTTTCTTATTGTCAGGGTCACGTGATGTAATAACACGCATTTTCTGATGTTGCGAGCTAAAAGCTTGATATTATAGATATGATTTTTCTATTTGTTTTGGTTTTTTGGAATGGATGAAAAAAGAATAATAAAATGGTGAATTAGTTTTTTTGTAGAATTTTGCGTTATTTCTTTTGTAAAAGGTTACGACTGACACTTATAATATTATCAAAATTAAGTTTTTATAAGTATAATTACACAAGTTTAGTGATTCTATATTTACCAAAATTTTTAATTATAGAGCGAGAGAGAGTAAATGGAGTATATATTTAATTTCTTGAATGTGCTCTTAATTTTTTCAATGCTTTAAACAGTTCTCAAAATAAAGTTTTCGTAAATTTCATAAATTAATATTTTGACGTATTTTGTATTTTATGTTTTAGTGTTTGCATTTCTTTCAAACGTTTTTTTACAGTTCCGTTGGTGATTATGATTTATATATCAGTAAATCTGAAATTTAATTTTAGCCAAGAGAAGATGAGCCAAAATATGACCCACAACTGCCAATGTGGTTGGAAATATACGTTTCTTTTCATACAGGAGCTTTAGTGATTGGCTATTTGCAGCTCATTCTTAACTTATCCGTAAGTCTTTTCGTACTTATATGCGTTTTTTTGTCTCGATAACGATAGAAATTTTAAACGTGAACCTAATAATATTTCAAATTTGCTGCAATCTTAATATAATACTAAGTTAAACCATATTACAATGAAAATTCAATTTTCTTGAACTCTATTAACTGATAATAGGATTCAAATTAAACAGAAACAAAGCTAATAAGAATAACTTATTAGGATTTTCAGATTTTAAAAATGCTATTGTTAGAATATAGTAACGTATTTAAAGCACAATAATTTAAAACGTTAGAAAGGTCAAAATGTTAATGCACGACTTCAAAACCGAAAGAATATCTGCATTTCGGATGAAAAGCTGCTATTTAACTTTTCTTTTCTGACCACCGAGAAATAGATTTTTTGTGTGTGTCCAGGTTTGTCTTTTATTTTTCTAGAGTGACAAGTCTTAAATAACTAATCACTAGTGAATGAAGGGGCATTGCTTATGTTTTCTTAGGAGTATAGCGTCAGAACTTTTTACTTTTTAAGGAATTTTGTAACTATTCAATTTATTTTAACATTTTATGCATGTAAACTAAAATTTAATACAGTTTGAATTAAAAAATTTTTTTTTCTTACATTCTTTGAAGGAAATTTAAGGTTGCTTCAAATTTTTGACTTCCCCGAAATATGCTATAAAATCATTACTTTTTTTTGTTTTCTACTTTTACTTGTACTTTTTACTCGCTACTTTTTAAAATCAAAACTTTTTATTTTTCACTCGTTACTTTTTCTTAATTACTTGTTATTTTACTAGTTACTTTTTATACGTAATGTTCCCATGTATGGACGCATCACAATGCCGAGGAAATACTGCGCCTATTAATTTTTAAGACTATTTTAATAATTCCTGAAAATGTCACGGGAATTACAAAATTAACATGTTTTGCAGTAACCTTCACTTGTCACGATATACTTTGTATATGGATTTAAAAATTTTAGATATGACTTTTGAAGTATAAGTTCAGAATACTCTTTATTGACATTGGGTTTTTCAATGACTTCATGGTCCATAAACCTTGATTCTTAAGAGGTCTCATTCTTCCCAACCAAACGCAACTGTCAAGGGGGTGGAAACGGTCATCTTTATCATCGTTATTTACTTTTCATAAGAGAACTGATGTTTGATATTTACTCTTCTTGGCAGTAGCCTTCATTACATTTAAAATACAAGGCCGTCATCCAATCAGAGTGTGAGAAATATAGTGCGCGGTATTTTAGATTCGTTATTTATTTTTTCCTTAAAAATTATGCAAATACAATTCTGCATTTCGAATTTTTCAAAAACTTGGTTTAGAATTACGAGTAAAATATGTCTACTTTTAGAGTTTTGATAAATATCTTTTTTTTTTTGTTCTTAACATTAGGATATTTTTTCAATTTTATCTAAATCAGTTTTTGTCAGTTTAAACAATAATAAAATGAATTTTAAAAATCCAAAGAAAAAAAAGATAAAAAGAAACAGACAAATAAACAATGTAAAAGTTCCTTTTTTTAAAACCCGAAATGATTTGCAGCATAATTTTAATGCTTTATAATCCTTAGAAAAAAAAATTATATTTTCTTAAGTTTTTAAGCTCTCATAACCATAGAAGTAATTTCTGCCTCTCATTTCAGATATACTTTTGTTTTCCTCTTTTTTCAGAAGTATAGTTCAATTGAATGATATTTTATCACCAAATATTTATTAAAAAAAAAGAAAATGAAAATCAAAAATTTAGCTAAAATACAAGATGGCGAAAGAGGAAGTTTTTTAAGTAAAATTTTTGGTTTCGGAGATTGAGAAGATGAATTATTTTCCTTACTCTTCAAGCATGTTTAATGCAGAAAATTTTTTTTGGGGAGGGGGAACCCCCCCCAAAAAATTGCTAAAGAAATAAGGTTCGAGGTTTTTTGTTGCAGATAAAGTTAGTAAATATTAATGCTTAATATGACATTAAAAATTGTTTTGGAAACAGCTTAGTACAGAGGTGTATTATATCAAGAGGTAGTATGGGAGCCATATGTATCTAATTTTCAAGGGAGAGAAATTTAAATACACATAATACGCATAAATACGCATTTTTTTAAAGATTTTTTTAAAACTTAATTGATTATAAATCGATGATTACTTATTTTTTATTTTTCAGGAACATTAAAGGAAATTTTTCCCTTTCTAATTAAGGTTGAATTTGATTCTAATTATTAATATTCCTGCTCAAATTATTATTACAATTGAGATTTCTAATTATCAATGTACCAAACATCTCCTTCGCAAACAACACTCATGGGTGGAGGTTACTAACTGTTAGTTGTACATTAAATTCATAAGTTCAGATAATATTTTCAAAAAGTTCAGATCAGACTTTCAAGCTGATAACAGCTCGTTATATCACCAACTAAAATTTTCCTTTTTTTTAATACGTCTCACGTTTTTTTAATTTAAGCGTGAAAAAAATTTAATTTTTTCTTCATTCACTTGAATAAAGTGTTTTCATTTTTTAAAATTTTCATTTGATAATTTTTAGTTTCTTCTATAATTAAGTTCTAGATGATTTTGAATGCTTTCTAATGGTTTAAATAGTTTTTTTTCATTAATCATGCGAAATTGCGTCAAATATTTTTCAGATGGTTTCAGCATGGACATTAACACTGAGCAGTTTGTTCATAATACTGACAACTATTTCAATTGGATGTTTGCTAGATTTAAGGTATGTCTGTTTTTCATGCTTTTTAAAAACATTTTTATAAAGCCATTTAACCAAAATATTAAACGTTAAACGGAAACTTATTTTAAAATGAGGCTTCTGCAGTGCAAAATTTGATCATATGATAAAATTTAGTCTTTTTATAAATTTCACCATTAATTTATAAAGTCAAACATATGATTTGATCTTATAAGTTTGAAGATTAAAATTTGACCTAATGGTCAAATTTATAAAATACGTAAACTATATTCGATGAGATTTCTAACATGAAACGTTTTATTTAAAAACTAAATTTTTATTAAATAGGATTGCAGCAATGCTAGGAATCATCAATAGAAGTCAAATTTATAAATTATCGAAAGAAAAAAAATGACGCATTCAATCATGTTTTGCTTAGCAACTACCAAATACGACTGCTTTTATGATTGATATCGTCAATTAAGTTTATTTATTTGACGTTTTTATGAATCATAACTTTGACCATTGGGTCATTCTACGCTTCTTTAGTCAACAACCGTAATACACAAACCTCTGTATTGATCTACAACACAATGAAAAAATTCTAAATTTATCTGCAGAGCGTGTGCTAAAATATTTATTTTTAAATGTTACTTTGCAGTTCCGTAGTTTTAAAAGGCTAGAATGACGATTGCAGTACATGACGACATAACTGCCCTACAGAAAGAAAGTACTTTCTGGTGTTTTTTATTATCTCTTTGCATCTAAAATAATTAATTTAAAAAAATTCTGAAGCAGTAAAATTAAGGTTGAAAATATTCTCGATTTTAGGTATTTTCAGTTTATCGAAATAAGATATTATTAAAAATGAAAGTAAAGAAATGAATTAAACACTTGGTGAATTAAATAAAGCTTGTAAGAAAAATTTTGTTAGAAAATTACAAATTTTGAAAAATTAAAAATTCTGCTTGAAACAAAATAAATTAAAATTTTTAAATTTTAAATAGCATTTTAAAAATTAAACTAGAAAGTAGAAAAAACGAATTTTATTTGTTTGCTAAGTAGAAATAAATCTCGCAATGTCTGCTACAGAAGTGCCGTACTTCTTCTGTTACCTGGCTAGTTATAGATACTTCCGTTACTTACAAATACTAATAATATTTTACAGCTAATGAAAATTTTATGTAGCGATTCAAAAATTTCTGAAACTGAAATTCCTGACCAATTTATATTTACGTTTGTTTTAGTGTTAACCATTTCTTGTTAAAACATAGTATTTAGCCTGAATTTATAGCTGTGAAAAATAGGTAATCTAGCAAAATTTAAAGGGATTATTTATAAGCAGGCTGATGAGTGCAACAGTAGTAACTGTTCAACATATGATTATTAATTCAGTATTTTGATTGAAATTTTGTTTATAGATTTCTTCGGAATTCTTTCGAAACACTCAAAGTTATTCAAGAAAAATAAATCAAGAAATGAAAGTCATGCGGTTAAAACTAAATAATTTTACTGTCTAAGAATGCTTTACGGTGGTGAATAATCTAGTAACTTTGCATGTTTATTTAATGCCGAACGAGACCTTGACTTTTCCACATAAAGCTTTTGTGTACATAATATTTGGGAAATTTCAACCTGGTGACCTTCCACTAAAAGTTGCTCGTGAGGCGATGCTGTGAGAACAAATAAAATATTAAAATCGAAATCGACATACCGTCACAGATTTGTTTGTATTCTAATAGTTTTGGGACACGGTTTTGCCTCATTAATTTTTCTTTGTTTCATCTGATCGCTTTCATCTCCTTGTATTTAAAGTTGCGTAAATAATATATATATAAAGATAATATTTTCAAAAAGTT